TCGTTCGTTCGTTCGTTCGTTCGTTCGTTCGTTCGTTCGTTTTGCTCGTTCTGCTCGTTTTGCTCGTTTGTTGTTTTTATTTGTCGTTTTTTTTTCTTTGCTCGTTCATGTGCCTTTTCATTCGTCAGTGTTTGTTCGTTTATTTAATGTATTTTTTGTTCGTTTGCCTATTTATTTGCTAAACTTTTTTTTGTTCCTTTTGTTTTGTTTTGTTTTTTTGTTTTGTTTTTTTTTTGTTTTGTTTTTTGTTTTTGTTTTTGTTTTTTTGTTTTTTCTTCCATTCTTTCTTTCTTTCTTTCTTTTTTCCCTTATCTTTTTCTTGTTTTCCTTTATTCGTTTTTCTTTGTCCACTTAGAATCACTCATCATTTAACATTAAGTTTTAATAAGTTTTTGTATCCAATCCTAATTCAATTTTCTTCGCATTGCATCATAACCATCCCAGGAGCTTTGTAGAAGAATCTTCTCAAGACTTTGAAAGATTTAAGAGACAAGAAGTAAAAGACGTGAAAGCGATTCTATCAGCGCACGTCAGGACTCAGATCAAATTATGTAAATTGGTAAGATAAACAAACACTGAACATTCTGATGAAGGCTATCATCACTAGTTATAGCCGAAACGTCATGTTTTTTTAAAAATTTGTTTCGTTTTTTTTATCGACGCGTTTTATCCGTTATCTTACATTTAATCGAAAACACTGAGCATTTTTATGGACGCATGCATTTGAAAACGAAGGACTTTGCAAGAACACTGACGTCATTTCATCGGCGCGTTTGTTTGGCGCATGCGCATATCATGATCAAAGCATGAGGGTGACAATGGAGTTTAGTTTACTGACAATCGGCCAAAAAATAGTAGTTAACTGACAAATAACCTAAAATTAGTGGTTAACAGTTAACTGACATTTCATTATTTTGGTTGATTTTATGTCTAGTACTCGTAATGTTATTACAGTTAAATGTTATTCGGCCGAAAAAAATGTTGTTAACTGACAATTGCGTAGCACCCTAGCATCGTATCTGCGATCGTATCTGCGTTTATGATCGTTTATGTGTAGACGTGGGTTAAAACTAATAGGTTCTTTTTAGGATTCGATAAAATTCATGTTTGAGTGGGATTGGATCATTTCATGCTGGACTAGTTACTCAGATTAAAAAAAAAAGTAAGGTCAACCCCCTAAAACTAATACTTCATTTTTTTTCGTCATTTTAGGGATTATCGACGTGGGAAAACATGAGAGAAACAGCACACAAACTTTAGATCCATATCATTATACTATTTGATCAAGTTTTGTATTTAACAGATACTTTTTCCTTATTTCTGTGACATGAGTTAATGAAAAATATTTTTAAATTTACAGCCAAACTAGCTCATGCGTTCCTATCAAGGTTCAAAAATTCCATTTATTATTCGAAAATGTATTTCAATCCCGCTTCGAGGCTTGCATTAATAAAACTAAAGTTGCGCGGAATTTGAATTCTTGGCTCGGATTAAAAGTTTATTTAGTTCTTCACAGATTCGTTCAAAGCTAAAATTATTTCTACAATTGTAGCTACCATTTTAAAGTTACTTTTTTGGTGTGATGTTTTGTTCAAAAAATCCTTTCACAGATGAACATTTTGATGTTTCGAGGTAAAGACCGGGATTGAAAATTACAACGTTCTTTTTATTTGTGCAAGCTTCAAAGCAAGATGAAAATCAAAATTTTAATAATGAACTGAATCTTTTAACCTTGATAGGAACCAACGAGCATGTTTGAATGTGAAGGAAGAAAACAAGTTTACTTTTACACGGTGATGGACGAGCGGATCAAAAAAGTGCACGTTACATTTACATGGAACTGTGCTATTCGTACGGCAAGCGTGTTTTTTTTGTATATGTGTGTGAGCTTGGCGCCAATCTCGTACCCAGAGCCTGCGTTTCTTCTGGCCTGCGGTGAAGAACGAGGGCTCTGGCATAATCCATTTTTTGGGACAAGGATTTCTTGGACTTCCGGTATAACAGCACACGCGTTTAAAGAGTTGCCAAAAATTAAAAATATTTTCCCCCCCGATTTTTAATTCGTACTATGATTTTTACTTCGATTTTGAGTTCGATTTAATTTTTACTTTGCTTATTTTGATCGGTTATATCTCACTTTCCGAAAATTGCGCGTGCGCCAAAATATGGATTATGCCAGAGTCCTCGTTCTTCGCCGCAGGCCAGAAGAAACGCAGGCTCGAAGAAACGCAGGCTCTGGGTACGAGATTGCTTGGCTGCCTTGTGGCTCAGCTGTTTTGCGCATGATCAGATAGTAGAACCTCTGACGTTATCATATTGATCCGTTTTCGTGTAAACAGTACATACGATTTGTAAAGATAAAAAGACTGCGGGCCGTACATTTCCTTGTCAGAGGTATGTACTGGTCGATTTGTTAGACACTTAAATTCACAGCAAGCCACAGAGGTTTGGAAAAGGGATTTTTAATGACTTTATTGAAATAATTATAACTGATACAAGAGACTCAAAATACGTCAGATTGAAAAAATTTTCAAGATGAAAAAATCATGCAAAATGTATACTAATGAACTACAAAAAACACACCCGCAAATAGCGATACAGGAAAAAAAATTGAATAACCATAATTAAAAGTTATAAATAACTGATATAAATAAAGTACGAATGTATATTTTTAGCATGGCATTCTCTTTCACAGTCATTTTCTCCTTACAGAAATACGCCTTTACTGCGTCTGTAAAGATGGATCATTCGCTTAATCATAATCTTGATGCCTTATACAATTAATACTAGATGAAAAGCAGGAAAAAATTAATAAAGTTGAATTCTTTGTGACATATGTCTTCCCATGCGCAACCGTTAAACAAAGAAATAATACTCTAGGGAAAGACACGTGGTCTCAAATGGGAAAACATTACGCCTGAGCTAAACAAAGAAATAATACTCTAGGGAAAGACACGTGGTCTCAAATGGGAAAACATTACGCCTGAGCTAAAACTTAAGGTCTATTAGTGTGAACGGATGGAGCCCGAGACGTTCGGGTTGAAAAAGTATATACTAACTGAATAGAAAAGATTATTCATTGGGGATATAAATCAAAGATTATACTTCTCCATTTGTCTCACAATTGTGGCAGTTGGGAAGACCGCTCGAGAAAAGTAAGATGGTTGGTTATAGCGAGCGTCTTTCTTAGAACAGCCCTTGTGTCTACGTATCAACCTTAGGGCTGGGCACCCATATGTAAGCTCAATAAAATAGAAAAGGTTATTCATCGTGGATATGAATCAAAGATTCTACTTATTCATTTGTCTCACGAATGTGGCAGTTGGGAGGACCGAGGCGTTTGGACTGCTACTGCTATTCGTCATCAGGCGCGGTGATGGTGTAGACTGGAAAGCGAAGATGGTCTACATAGGCACTTTTCGAAGACGAATGACGTCTCATCCCCCAAAATGGCCTCGCGATGAAAGCCAGTTTTTTCCCTCGGAATAGCTAATAGATTCAAAATGGCGAATTTTATTTTGAATTGTTGGTCGCGTAATTATGGGGAAAAATATACATTTTTTTTCATTAAACAGATTTTCTATTCGATCGTAAGATGATTAAGCAATGCTTGGATGGCACAAGTCTTATTCTGGCCTCCGTTTTGGTTAAGGTCGGGGGGGAAAAACCGACTGCCCTGAAACGATAGCTCTTTTTGAAGTATCCGCCTCCAAAATATTGGAGATAAATCGCATGATAACTCGTTTTCCAAACTAGTTTTTCCGGATACTACGTCACTTAAGCATGATATTTCTTTGATAACAATAATAATTAACAATAATAATAATAATGGGAGTTCTTATATCATGCGCATTTCAAATATCTCGATGCGCTTCACATTTATAATCTTTAAATCTTTGATTTGATGAGAGGTAAATTATGTAAAAGCGAATAACCACCGTGTAACAACAAAAGAAAAGCGACATTAAATAGTCCTTCGTGGGCGATGGAAGACAGGAAAAACCGAATGAAATGCGCACCATGTTTGATCAAGGAGCGTCCGCATTTGTACAAAATTGTGTTCTTAAGCATATATAGAGCACTAACGACGTAAGACGAATTATAATGAAAATCTAAATGAATTTCATTTCAATCATATGAAATTGTTTTCCTTTTAAAAGGCGAAGAAAATCATGCAAGAAACAGGAATTAGACCTTTGCACATCAAAAATAGTCAAAACTACCAACTACGACTACCTCCAAATTGCTTGCCATAGTCTGTTAATTTTTGAGTACAAGTTTGAGTATATTCCGTTACTGACATCGTACATATCTCACCACACGTACAAATCCAGTTAAAGCTAGGACTTTGGGTTTGGCTACATTGAGGAGCATAAGCGTTCCATTTTCTCGCTGTTCGACGAGGTTCCTGGCGCTCGTCCTCTTCCATTACCACAGGATAGAATGAAGATCTCTGTGGTGGCTGCCCTCTTACGCCTGCCTGCAAATTCGGTTCATGACCAGCGTTTGATTGCTTGTACCCTGCATGTTTTCTTCCCACGTTCTGAGAATGTGAAGATGGAAAATTCTGGATTAAGTTTTTCTTCTGGTAAAATTGAGTGAGCTCCAGCGTAGACAACTCCTCTCTCTTTCTTTCTTTCTTGTTTTTTCTGGTGTCAGACTCTGGAGTCGAATCTCCTCTGGTCGGGAATATCTTGGCATTTTTCTTCCGATAATACTCACACAGCTCTAGCATGGAAAGGTGGCTTAGATCTGGCTCTGGCTCTGCGTTGTAATTACCTTTTTCCATTGTAGTTCTGGATAGTCGTTATGTTAAAAGAATGAGGACAAAACAACAATCCTTGTGTCCCGAGTAAGAAATTAACGCCGTTATAAACAACCTGAACAGACCAAGAAGAAAGTGCTCACGATTTTCTTTCAACAGAAATATTGTTTTTAGTACCAAGTGTTGACACCTTTTGGTCACGACTGTCAATGTTGTCGTGAATGTCGTCCAGCTATATACGTCTAGTTTTGGACAGAATTTTTTTGTTGGTTCCATTCAGGCTGCTAATACACGCAGGCTATTGGCACGTGTTTTTGTGTTTTCAACATGTGACATGAAAAAAAAATACACAACACGTGACCTTGAAAACTGATTTGTATTTTCCAACTGAGGTCATGGAAAAATTCCAGGGTCTTGTGTCAGAAAAATCGGTTCCGTGGAAATTTCATGATCATTTTATTTTTATGGAGGAATTTATAGTTTGAGAGGTGCTAATTCGAAAAAAAAGCCGATTTTTTTCAAAAAATTGTTTTACTTTTGAACGTTCGATTTGAGCCGACGACGTGCGCGCGCTTAAAAACCGCTGAATAATCTTCAAGATTTTATTGAAGAACCATACACGTTTTGAACTTCAATTTCAAGAGGCCAAAACTCTCCAAATTTTGCACAGGACCATCTATTCATTTTTATGAGCTTATTCGAATAAAAAACCTCTTAACACAGTGGCGGATCCTGGACATTAAGATGGGGGGGGGGGGGAAATTCATTTTTGTAAATCTCGGCACAACAATAAACGCTCTCTTGCATCATCATTTTTCCCATGAGGCACATCTCTGGCCTAGGGGCGCCCCTGATAAGGATAACCTATCCACCAGTCCCATTTCATATTAAATCTCATGAGTTAGTACCATACTTTTATTTATTTTTTTCAAAAAATATAAAAATTCCAAGGTACCAGCCGGTGTGTGTGTGTGTGGGGGGGGGGAGTTCATTTGCACCCAATGAACCCCCCTAAATCCGCCACAGTAACAATCTAGGTTTTATCATTTTTTTATTTTATTTTTTTTAAAGAAAAAGTTAATTGTTCGACTTTATGAGAGTTTTTGAGAGCACTTAAAGGACGAAATATGAGAAATCCATAATTTCTTTGTCTTTTTGTCAAAATATCCACATATTATTGTAGAATGATTAACTAGCCTTCATTTTGCAATCATAGAGTCTGCAAATAACTTTTATCTTATGAATCTTAATTTTTTCCTTATCAATTCCAGTGGCGCAATTTCTGCTCCAAAAGCTCGCGCGTAGGCTGCCATTAAATGCTGATTATCTCGAAAACAAGCTCGAGACACGCAATTTTTCTTTCCAGTTTTGGAATCAGCATTAAATTTCAATTCGGAAAATCGAAATTTTATAAAAAGTTTAATTTTTTTTCCGAAAGTAGGCGGCAGTCACCTCATGGCTTGTAGAATCTTGGAGGTTGTTTTGAGCTTGAGGACTTATTTTGACATGTTTTGACTTAACGTCCGCTTGTTGCCCTTCAGTCAACCGTTTGTTTGCCTCCCAGCGACTCCAAAAAGTCACATGATTGATAGTAAGCAACTGATGTACTGGTAGAAGAACCTCACAAAGGTCTCGAATAATTGGCTCCCGTAAATCGAGAATTTCAAGAGGAAAAGTGACTCTCAGTTTTGCCAATTTTCTCGATTATTCTGATTGGCTAGCATTTTCTCTCAAATCAGCTTAGCTTGCTGCGCATGTATGTCACGAACATCTGTTTCAGTTGAGCGAAACGTTGCGTGACAGTATCTTATTTCATATGTGAATATTTAGACACTAATTCGAGGCTAACCCTGGGTGAAATAGGTTGCTATCAATAGGCGTCACTTCCGGTAATAGCTCTTTTTTGATGGCTTGTAGTAGAATCCTGGAGGTTGTTTTGATCTCTTGTTTTCTGGTTTGATGTCATGAAAATAGTCAAACACAATAGTCTGAGGACTTATTTTGATATGTTTTGACTTAGCATCCGCTAGTTGCCCCCCAGTCAACCGCTTGTTTGCCCCCAGTCAACTCCAAAAAGTCACGTGATTGATAGTAAGCAATWATTCTGTAATATATGCAAGGAACACAGCGGTAATTTGGACTTTTTCCAAGTTTGCTGTCTTAAGGAAATGACATGTGGCTTAAAATAGAAAGAAAAAACATGATTTACCAGGATACACCATCTGTATCAACACGTAATTAGGTGACTCACATTTCATTTCTACTTTTTGACTTTTTTCTCTTGTTATCTAAACAATGAGAAAATTCTAGATTCCAACAAGCCCACGCTTCCTGTCCCCACCCTGCTGAGTGCTCATTTAACCCCAATACGTCATCACAACGATTTCTCAATCCTCGGTCCCAGTCGACACACCAAGTTGACAATTTCAAAACATGCGTCTTGCAGCCAAAAACTTGCCTTAAATTTAACCCCGAATTCCTCGTCTTTAATTCCTACCAGTAGAAAACCTTGGATTCAAGCCATAAAGTGCATCCTAAGGTAAGGTAATGCATTCAATCTAGAGAGATCGGAGAAAAAATTCGTAATGTTTTTGGCGCTGTCAAGCAAGGTTTCCGTTCTGAGGTCGTTCCACACATTGATGTAGGAGGCGCTGGAAATATTTCGGGTCACTTGGGTAATCAATTCTCGATAAAAAAATGTGTAGCGGAATAAAAGGAGGTAGACTTTTGAAACTTTAGTCATAGTGATTTACATTTCAATTAGAACGGATGCTAAGGATTGTTGAGAAAAAAAAATTGGGTTAAAAAAGTTGCGTCGAAGCAAATCATCTCGTCAATGGCGCCGAAGCCGACTCATGTTTTGTAAGTAAATGATCATGATTGCTCATTTGCGGATCATTATATTCATTAAGAGCGTATATTTCTTGATTTAAATATTCATATACCGGTGTATTTATATTTGGTCTCAAAGGCTGTCATTTTGTCTTTGAAATCGTATTCTAATTGGCCCGATAAAAAACCTTTCAAGTGATCAAACCATATTTTTCTATCTGTGGATTCCATCTTCGATTACAAGCCACATTGAACGAAAAGAATTCTTTTACACACGATGAATACCTCGCATTGAGATCGTATACGATTGATTTTCCGTTCAAAAATGCTTTGTAAATTGAAGTCGAGATGGAAAAACAGGTCTAGGTCTGTATAATCTTGAATATTTACATTTSTTCGTGAAGAGATCATTGTTGCTGATTGATTTTTATAAACATTTTTATTTTTATTATAAACTGCTATTGTGCTGCTCCATAATCACGCTATTACAATCTTAAAATAATTCTTAAATCAAAAAATGTCTTCTTTATTTTACTTAAGTTCTGTATTTAGCCTGAAGTTTGTAAATAGTCGAACCAGATTTTTAAACTGCTTGTTCCTTTGGAAAGTGCTCGTGAAAGCATTTTGCTTGTATGCCTTTATTGTTTGAATAGTCACGAGCTGTTTCAATTTTGAAATATTGAACACTATTTTTACAACACTCCACTCCTACTTTTCCATTTTCAATATCAAAACAAGTGTTACCTGAAATGCTATAAGGCACCTGCGTTCAGGAGATATTATATTCTACATGGCTTTGCATGCTTGAGGTTTAAGCATAGTAATATTGAATGAAAATCACTTCGTGTTCTCATATTGGTCAAGGTTACATAAAYGTATAATAGCAGTCCATTTTGTTCTTTGCTGTGGTAGGCGTCTGTGGCATTCAATAAGTTTAAAAAAGCCATGATTTTTATCGTATACATATAATAAATGAGGTTGATGGTGCATCTATGGATAATGTTTTCTTTCCTTGCCTTCTCCATGAATTATCATTTTGGTATACAGTATAGTTCTTGAATGAGAAGTGGATTTTAATTTTAATTTTCGAGTGTTCTGAATGCTTTGTTCCAGAAAGCCAAGTTCTTTTGTTTGTGTGATATAATGTCTCTACTTAACCAGATCTGATTTCAGACTTAGAAATTAATACTTTGAATGAAGTAAAGATATAAAGATATGATTGTATATAATAATATATAAAATAACTTGCCTTTATTATGATATAAACTCCTATAAAATGCAGACCCATAAAACAATTGAAGCACAATTTCACTGTTCCAAGTGTGCCCACTGTACCCATTGTACCCTGCTGGGTAGTAGCTGTGGCTAATGAAAATTTAGCTAGAACAAGATTTTTAAAAAAATCAAAAAGTAAAAATAACAATAAAAAGAAAGGAAATTAAAAATAAAAATAAAATACCCTATAGCTATTCAATATTTTTTTATATATATTTCAAATAATTGATCTTTTTTTGTTCACAAAATTGTCCTTATATTAGAATTGCTTCAAGATTTATTGGTTTTCCAATGAAAATTATAAAAATGTCATTTCCCACAGGCAAGGTTTTTTTTCAGTCTAGAAAAACCAAGTGTGCTTTGTACTAAATTGTAGTCTTGGTTGGTTGGTGTTGATTATACTTTAGACAAGCTGAGTATTGAACTTATGGCCTAGTGACACAGTTGAGAAAAAATACTTAATAAACATACCCCACCAGATTGAAGCAAAGTTGACCATAGACCAACTTGAAGTGTCTATCACTTTACTGTTGAGGTAATTTAAGATGGAATACAAGTTGAATGTAGTGTACTGTCACATTTTATGAATCTCTTCTTGCTTATTTTTCTATTCAGATTAAAAGTGCCTTCAAATATGAATAACATTAGCATGGACCCAGAAGAACAATTGCAGCATGAGGGGGTAATAGCACCAAGTGAAAAGGCTGATGCCACTGATGTAGCACAAGTAGAAGATGTTGACAAATTGGGAGATAATGGTGATGGTGATGATGAGGATATCGATAAGATGTTGAATGAGCTTCAAGGGTTTCAAGAGGTAAGCTAAGAAAAATACAAAAAACCAGAAAACCAGAATAAAAATTTATTAAAGATACAGTTCTAAGTCGTATTTATAATGGAGGTTCTTCTATAGCGCATTTCACAATGTCTCAGTGCACTTTACTCAATGCCTATTTCATTCTCTGATTTGAGTAAAGTATCTAAAAATGTTTGCATATCATTTCATTTTTCAAACACTCTGAATTATTTGCATTTTCAAACAGTATATTTGAATGTGTGTGTTTTCACATGTTACTTTATTTAAGAGACTAAAAAACTGTACATTTTAGATACACAATATGTACTCTGCTTATACACACCTCTTTAGTTTGGGCTAAATAAGTTTTGCCCATTTCACACCACATGTCATTCCCTTGAGTATCATTTCTTTGTTTGGATGCAAGTAAAACAAATAATCCTATTCTCAAAGGAATGACGCATGGTCTAGAATGGGCAAAACAAATGCCCAATCTAAATAGGTCTTTGCATGTTGGTTTCCTACATTTCTCTTGCATGTTCTCTATTTCAGCACCCCCCTCCCCTGTTTATATTAATGGCTCTCATTTAGCTTGTTTGAAAAGGCTTTTCTCTGTGTTCTCCAGTGTTCCTCCCTCCACAATTAACTTTTAACAAGCTAAATCCCAATTTGAGTCCCGTGCCCTGGTTGGCTTTGATTGTTTCAGCAGGCTCTGTAAAACTAATTTTAAGTGTATGAAATGAATACGGTATTTATAACTTAGTACAATAGGTTTAGTCCTTTTAATTCGATAGTAAATATAATGTTCTGTACTTTTTGAAAATTTTTAAAGGAACTGGAGCAGCAATCACAAAATGTCATCATAGATGACCAGAATGCTGACTTTAACGTAGCAACGCCAAAACCAAAACCTCTGGTAAGCTATTGACATCAACATTGTATACTTCGCATCTCATTAACATTACAGTGTATACCTGAAGACATATAGTTTATTTACCAGCCAGAAGTTTCAGATCTAAGGGAAAAACTAAGCGTTTTCAATCTGGACCGACTTTTGAATGGTAAATACCTTAATTTAATTAAGGTCTTTTTCACAAGATAATTTTTCCTCTGTTTTGCATTTTGTTTTGTTGTTTTGCAATGCCTTATTACTCCCCCCCCCCCCCCCCCCCCCCCCCCCCCCCCCCCCACTCCAACACCTCTATGTGAGTCAATCAAAATGCATGATTTTTTAGGATATCAGAACAGAAACAATAAAAACAAACAATAAGCATCTTCTCACCATGACTTTTGGTACTGGCTTACAGCATATTCATATGGTTGCCATAGTACTCCAACCCATAAAGTTGATTGAGAAATTAAAGGGGCCGGTGCTTGGTGGCTGTAGCCCCTTGTTTTGCTAATATTTTCATTTTCCCATTGTGCAACACCAGCCTGCATGCAGAATATATCAAATAAATTATATCAACCATTACAACCCCGGGGGGTACTCCCATATATGGACTATACGGGGATGATCCACTGAACAGGGTATGGTTTTCCAAGCTTCTTGTCATAAACAGGGTACACAATTTCACTCAAGTTCCAAGTTCTTCCTGAGTTTCCTGTCATATTCAGGGTTTCTAATTTTGTATTGACAGTTATTATAGTCATAAAAAAAACAATATGCGAGCTGACATGATATTGAAACAGGAACTCAGTGCAATTAATTGTATCTTTTGTCATAAACAGGGACCCCTTTCAGAATCCAACGGGAACACCCCTACCCAAATACTGGCGGAGTAACCCCCCGGGTATAACCACTCACTCTGTCCAACTGATAATGACATTTAAAAATACATTTGCCAGCCATGAAACCACAAGTAGTATTATAGGCTTTAGTCAAACCAATCCCTTACTTCGGTGACAAGGAACCAGCTCTTAGATGCACATTAACACTTACAGTAGAAGCTGGCATACACTTAGATGTCATTAAAAACCTTGACCAAAACTGGCTAAACTAATGAATGAATCTTTATCTTTTATTTCCAGGATGAGTTCAGATTTTCGATAACTGCAATGGAAGGTATTTAAAAGTTTCTTTTCTTTATTTCCCTCCTGAATTCCCTTGTTTACGGTTCCTGGTTTTAAAGTTCAGCTTAAGATGTGATGGCCATTGAGGTAAAATTGTAAAAACCTGTAGCATGCATAAAAGCTGTAAAACTTTGTCCATGTGTTGCAGTAGAAACTTGCAGTCATTGTATTTATCTTAAGTTATGTTATGGATAACGCTGTTGAGTTGTATTGAACTTTAAGTTGTAATGATTGGCCGCTGTACAAGTTATGGTTTGGTATTAATTCCAGGTTTTGTTGGTGTTCTTATTATTTTAGTGTTTTTTTAAAATTATTATTCTAGTTAAATGTGTTTTTTTTAAATGCTCATGTTGCTGTTTTTAGTGATATTGTTACATTTTGTTATTGATGTATTATTTTGTTAACATTTTATTAGTGCTGTTCTGGATGCGTTGTTGTTCCCCTCTGGTTATGTTTGGAAAAAAAGTGAAAATATTCAACTCATCAGCAAGAAACAAAAACTTTACCTATTTTTTCAAATCTTTCAGATCTAAATAATTGGTAGTTTTTACAGCCGCCGTGCTGGATAAATTTAACAAAAAATTCGTCATTAGTCTCTTTCGTTATATCATCCAATATGGCCGCCATGTCTTTGGTTATTTCATTCTCTTAGAAATGATTGCAAACCAGAATATACTTGTCAAAATTAGATWTTTTTTTTTTGGTATAATACATTCAACATTTTTAAGGACACCTACACTGTATTCACAAAGGGAGGTCTCTTAAAAGTTACCATTGAATGATACATCAATTCACAAGTTGCTACATACGCACGTTAATTATGATTGTAATCTTTTGCCCCTCGGGTTGTTGGGCATGTACAGTAGGCACAAAAAATATCTCATGAAATGTTCCATAAGTAACTCCACAAGCTTTTGGTCTAATGACGATTCCAATGGCAAGAGAGTGTTAATTCAAGTGCCTTAGACAGCTGCACCCTCTAATATTAACATAATGATTCTAGTTCGTCTAGTGTGCATATACCATTAGAATGAGAAAATTAACTAGCTATGAATCCGTGATAACATCAAAGCTTACATCAAATTTCTCGTAGAAATACTTTCTTTGACCTGAAATTATATTTTGTAAATGAGGATTACATATTCATTGTGGCAAAGTTTAATTTCTTTAATACTGTCGTAACCAATCAGTGCCCGCCACAAAGAGCCAGCCCTTGTAATCCAGTCTGAATAGGTTAATGGATTAAGGGAACCCTTCATGTTATGTTGTCTTGTGTTTTTTAATTATTTATTGAGCAAACATTGTCGACGACTTTAGAAAATCAACCTTATCGTAGGGATAAGATTTATCAGTTCATGTCTGCGTTGTTATTTTGATTCGGGTTACCCCCCTCCCCCCTCCTGTGGGTGAGTGAGGGATTGAACGAGTACCTAATACCCCCTCCCTTCGTGTGTAAGAGGAGTACATATTTAGGTTTCATGTTTACCGATCCACTCAGCGGGAGAGAGTCCATTAGTACTCTGTTCTTTGAGATAACACGGTCACTACTCGATGAAACTAATTGATAGTAACTTGCATTTTGTTACTGATAACAACGATTATTGGCTTCTTGGCCGCCTTATCAATCCGCTAGATCAACCATCGGCACTTCGGTTCTTCCTTTCTTTGCTCCTTGATGATTTTAATTGATTTGTATGCTTCGTGGGGAATAGTTAGAAGGTAAAGTTACAATATATCTTCGAGCACTACAAATTGGGCGAAGCTTGAAGGTATTTGCATCGCGATGGAGTACTGTCCAATCCGTGAAGGTAAACCATTACAATTCCTCACTCTGAAGGAATGTTTTTCAATCTTATCATTTATATTCAAAGTACTAAACCTACTACCTAAGAGTATTCAACTGAGTGTATGTCGTCTCAATCAAGCGTAAAAAACAAACATCTCTCAGCTAATTCTTTCATTTCCAAGCTCTATTTTATTGTCTTATTCTGACTATACCTGTGGTTCAGTTGCGGGTAGGTTTAGTGACAGGATAAAAGAGCCACGCTTAACAAATTTAGCTCGCTCGTGGCTTATTGTGACTAATTTGAGTTATTTGAAGGAACAGCGTGGTAGAGTATTTAACCGTCATGTGTCGTTATACCACAATGTTTTGCATTAAAATAATTGGGCATTAATCCTAACATCTGTAACTGAATTCAGAAACATTTTCAATAACTTATAAGGTCTTAATTTGCTATGCATAATACGGCGCTGTGAACTATTCAAAAAGTCTTTTGTACGACTGTACAAACTATTTATTTAATATTAGTATTCTATGTACAAACTCACATATCAAGAAAATCTGGCATAGTTTTGTTCTCGTTATCTTTTCACTCAACTCTGTTGTCTTTGTATCATCCATCTGGTAAAGACACTGAAGTCAAGCCTTCGTCAACATGAACCTTTCACATTTGATCTCCATCTGTTTGACTTTAAAATTGACTTTCATTCTAACTACTTATCTTTATTTTTACTGCTTTGTTTTCAGTCCTTTCAAAATACAATTCAATTCGGTCATTAACTTGGATTTTCCATTAATGCTTTTAGTTCTTATATCCGTGCTTTTTTTAGATGCCTTCAAGGCGGTGCATGTAAACTCGACTCGTCGATGACATTTTGAACAGTTTTTTGGCGGGCTTTTTCAACTTGATTCCTGTTTGGTCTCTTCGTTAGGTCAATAATGTTTAGTCAAGATTTGTGCGATAGTGAACGAAAAATGATTTAGATATTCTCTTTGCTGAACGAAAAATGTAAAAACTTTTATTGCAAAAGCAAAGGTTTTTCAATTTAAACGCAACTGTCAAATCCATGTAAACAATAGCCTGAGGGAGAAATAAAAGCTCAAAAATGCGTTCCAAAAAAAGAAGAAAAAAACATACAGAAAAAATCAAATATCTTTTGAGGAGAATCAAATTGTGTTTTTCTTTTTATAAGAAAATTCCAAATCTATTTCGCGTGAGTATTGCTGGCTTTGCAAATCTGCACATCTTCAGTTGACAAAGAACTTCCTCTTCAGATCCTAGCTTTTTATCGAGTTATTTACGTTGAATTTATTTTAACGTTTCCTGGTAAAAATGTCGCGGTTAACCACATATAGAGAATGGCTGGACACATTCATGGCTTTTAGTCATCGTTTAAAGCGTCTTTTTAATATTGATACTTATTTTATAAAAAAAATTATTCCTTTTCTGAAATTTGGCAAAGACATAAATAAGAGAATACGCACTAGAAAATGAGGATGTTTTTCTAAAGTCTCTTTCTCCTTTCTTTCCTTCTTTCTTCCTCTTCTTCTCCTTGTTCTCCTTGTTCATTTATTCTCCTTCTCCTTCTTTGGCTTTTGTTTTTTTTCTTCTTATTTTTTTTAGCAAATATAAAACAAGTTTTCCTTCCATAAATCACGTCTTCTATCCAGTGTTGAACGTCGAGCGTTGCATGACTCTGGGCTCGTATATTGCATGTTATTTATTAAATATATAAGAACTTAAGGATATTTGATACTATTGTGTCGTATTACTATATAGAAGAGCTTCAGCTTTCATTATAAGACCCTTCAGGTCATGACACCAAACCAAACCTTTAATTCATTCATTCGAGCACTTCCCTCGTGCACTCTTACCAAGAATAATACTTTCAAAGCCACAAAATAACAAATTCTCATTTGTCTAGCACATCGAACATAACTGGTTTTCCCTTATTTTTGTACAGTGTATTGTCCTAAGGTAAAACTAATGCTTTGTCATCTTGGATTGTTTATTATCATTTGCTAATCAATAGTTGTCTCTCAGATACTGGTGAAGTCGATCTCGATGCGTTACTTGAAGACTTATGCATAATGGAGAAAGATCTCAACTCGAATACTCCTATTACAAACAACACAGAACCGATTTTCTTTGATAAAAACTCGTTCTACGAAAAGCCAAACTCCCCTCTTTCTCCGAAAGTCAAGGTAAGAATTAATTCTTTGTTATGGCTACGTGTATCGACTGAGCTTGATAAGATCTAAATACCTCCTGGAAAAAACTGTTATTATACTTGAAAGAAACCGTGTTTGTTTTTGGATCTCAACATTTTGCCTTTCACTTGCTAATTAATTTAACTTTAGATAAATAAGCTACCAAAAATATCCGTCGATTCTGCTTTAATGAATCAGCCTGTATTGGCTGTAGGCCATTTAATTTGATTCCTCTCTAAACTGGCTTTGAAAACTTTTAACCTTACGAACTAAAATCTCAGCTTATCTGATTCAGTCTTTTTGCTGTTTGGAAATTTTGTAATAAGGAAAAAATTAGTTGATTAAGAGTTTTTCTCACTTTGAATATCCTCTTTGCAGAGTTTATTATCGTTACGTAAACAATACCATCCTCAAACAATCCTGATAAGATTTTTAGTTCTCAGATTTGAATGATATTATTTCCAACACGTGCCATAAAGAAAATTCCTTTTGTTCTACTGTATGTACATCTGTATACATATAAAGAAATACTCTTATTTTATTGTTTTGAACAGATCTTTTGAACATGCTTTAACTGTTTTATGATAATTAATATTTATAGCCACCGGTGCTTTCTTGTGTTTCTTTTGAATTTAGAAAAATTTAAAAAAACCTTTTTCACACTTTTCCATTCTTTTAGTATTTTCGAATCTAAAGCATTTAAAGTTTTAAATTACATTTTTTATTTTTCTTACACGTTTTTCATTGTCTAATTTTCTGATATTCTCATTAGACTGTTATGTCCGAACACAAGATTCATGTATTTGCTATTTCGACTCTTTGTTGTTTGCAATTCGGCTGTCATCATTGCATAAAAAATATTGAAGTTGTACGAAAAAAAGTTATTACATTCCTTTTAATATCTCTAGCTTTTTAGTTCATATTTACTTAATTTTATGTAAAAAATGTATATATTTAAAAGTAAGCTAGTGATTAAAGCATTTATTTGTTAATCTTGTAATTAAATTCAGAGAAGGAAATGAGCGTAGTACGTCGTAGGAGACTCCCTAATGAAGAGTTTCCGCTAAAGCTTCACCAGGGAGATTGCACGAGATTATTATATTTTTGTATTTTTTTATCTTTTAACTTAAAATCATATTTTTCCTAAATATATCTCTCTCCCTCCCTTTGACCTTTCTTCTCTTTCATTGATAATTTAAATTCCTTTTTTATATGTTCTTGAATTCATTTTTTATTTCTTAAAACCACCCAAAGTACTGTAATTTTGAATGTATAAAGTATTCTCAAGTTCACTTTGATATCTTGACAATTTGTAAAAAGCACTTTAAACCATTCACTCCCTCCCCAGAGAACTTGCTCTAAGGGCTTTTCAAATCGAAACCCAGCGAAAGCAAAAGATCGAAAATTTATCTTAACCAGAACTTGAATCCTTACAACTGAATTGTTAAAATCTTTGCTTTTATTTTATTTTATATCTTTTACGCCATTAAAACTATTTGGTATGCTAAAACACGGTTTCTGTATCGTGTTTGTATAAAGGTCTGCACTAACGTACTCAATGAATATCGCTACATTCCAGATGAATTTTCTCCTATAATCCACTTATCAGTATTTGCTAAGACACGCCAGTCGCCGGTCTATTACTTATTTCTTTCTTTATTAGATAAAAAGTGACATCTTGCAATAATTACTCAGATTTTACATCCATCTTAGAGTATTTATTAAGGTCAATTAGATAGCTGGTATTCCAGATGGGTTACGTTAGATATCTTCTTCGACAATGGTACTCTTTCATTCTTTAATGCAAGTTTCTGATGTTAATCCGGGACAGGTCCCAGCAGATGTCCGAAATCGTTTGGAAAGCGTTCAAGAAGAAAACAAAGAATTGACCCAGGTGAGTATGTGACACAGGGTTCCCACCACTGAAACTTTGCTATATCAACAATGATTGTTGGCATAGCAAAATAAAAGAAAAGCGATTGAGGGCGAAAAAGTGTAAATACGTTTACTATGAGTAGTAGCTGTATACTGAGGCCTTAGAAATTTAATTCAAAGCTTTCCTTTTCTCTCGCCAATTTCCCCACTACATTCTTCGTAAATTTTGAATTTACGCCAGTGGGTGTGACGTAATAAATATGGGCCATTAGTGTGTCGTTACGAAGTTATCAATTCTTTCATTTAGTTGTCTTTGTGCATCTTTCTCTATTTTTATTTGTTATTTAGATAAAGTTTCGTGGTGTCACACGAACGTCACGTCATTACTGTACCACTCATTAGAGAGTTTAAGATTAGGCAGATTAGATTCCCGTTTTTTCTTCCCGCAAACGTCAAACGTGACCACGTTTTCATCGTTTCCCTACGATTCACTTAACCTTTTGTAAACCTTCCCGACAAAGACACATATTCTTATTTTATCTACTACTTGGAGATCATTGCGATCAGTCCTTTTCACTAATTTTAAAGAAGTTTTTAATGGTCAACGTCAGTCGACCATTAAAGAATTCTTTAAAATTAGTGAAAAGGAATCACAAAAATCTCCAAGTAGTAGATAAACAAAAGAATACTTGTATTTGTCGAGAAAGTTTGCAAAAGGTAAAGTGAAATGTAGGGAAACGATGAAAACGTGGTCACGTTTGCCGTTTGCGGGAAGGAAAAACGGGAATATTAATCTGCCATATATTACGTCATTCACTTGATGAATTTCTTCTGCGTGACACAAGCGTCACGTCGGCACTTTGTCGCGCTTTGATATATTATACCCTGAAAAAGGACCCCAAATGGGCCTACGTTGTTACATTTATCAAGACGTGCTTGTTAGCGCTGTTGATTACATGTTTTTTCGCCCAATGTTTAGTTATAAATGAAAATATACGCCTTTGCCCAGTGTGTGGCCCAGATATCACGCTGACAGCCCAATACGTCGTGTACTTATTCCAATTGTAACCTTGTCTAGTCTATTACTCAAGATTATGTCTTACATGACGTATTACACCTATGACGTAATCCCTCTCACTATGTTGATTTCAGGAAGAACAGCTCGAAAAAATTAAAGCTGAGAAAATAAGAATCGCATTGGAGAAACTTAGAGCAGCCCGGGTCAAGAAGGTAAGATACGTGATAAATGGCACGAATAGAATAGTCGGATTTGCCTGGGCTTGTATGAAGGCGATTGTCTTCGCAGAGCACGTAGAACTTATCAACAGATAGATAAATCCTTTACGTGCGCTGGACCTGCTGCTTCCGATTTTCTGACCTGATCGAAAGGAATTTTCTGGCTGATCAGGAAATAAAAACTTGGAAACAGAATACCTTTTTACATTGGGCGTGAAGTTTTTCCATTTCAGAGATCGCGTTTCATTTCCTTGAATATTATTTCTTTTGTCCAGCGGTCATTCATAAAGAGATTTATAGATATGGTTGTTTTTAAAATAAAGAATCTTATTTCCAACTTTAGAATGGGAAACATTATGCTCAAAGTAAAAGGGTGCAATCAAGAGAAATGCTTTTTTCTTTTCTTTTCTATCAATCAATTTATTTATTTAAACTTTTTACAAAAATAATAATGCATATAATAATAATAATGATAATAATGATTATTATCATGGACACAGGTCATGTCATGGCATCTTAAGGTGTCCGTTAGTTTCTGCCGTAATTTTAGCCTTAATGCACCATGTCAAGGAAAGGAAAACGAATCAAATGGACAGAAAAGATGAACAGCGATGTTTTACAGTGCAAAATAAGAGCAAAAGAAATAATTTCGAATGATCAACCGCTCAACCAAAATGGCAGAAAGAAAGGCTATACTCTGGTAATGAAGGAGCTTTGGGAAGAATTGGGCTATGAAAACCTYGGTTTGACATGCCAGAATTTGAGAGACCAAGCATCAAGAATCGAAAAATCTCAAAACTCCACAAATATTACAACTTCAACACAGGAAAGACAAGAAATTGCGGGAATCATTGAAAATATTGAAGATGATGAGGGTGAATATGCGACTAGTCAACCAAGACCATCTACAAATTTGCATACTACAGCTTCAGAATCTCTTGAGACGCCTCATGACAATGGAAAAAACACCTCAAGCAAAATCCAGCCAAATTTACCTGATTTCAATGTCCTGCCCTCTCAGATTAAAGGAAAACACTGGGGAAACTTARCCTATGAWCAATTCTGCAAGGACGTAACTGATATCTATGATGAAATTACGCTTTTCAAGAGAAATATTTTCAATGTTCCATCAGGAAAAGCAGGCAAAAGTTTTATAACTGAGCTGACGTACTGGATTAAGCAATTCAACGGTGTCTCAGATTTAAACTCCATTGCCTTAAAAGCCTTTATGATACTACCATCGCTGATTCTACAAAAGCCCTCAGCGTCGTCAAAAAGCAAGGAGCATGTCGCGGCAATTGARAGGAGACTGTCCTTGTGGAAAAAYGGGGATCTATCAATCCTTATGAAAGAAATAAGATTCATTCAGAGCAGATTTAGCAAGTCAAAGAAAGCCAGATCAGTAGAGGATATCTCCAAAGTATTCGCCAAATTAGTCATGCAGGGAAAGTTGACAGCTGCTATAAAGATGCTGGATAAGGAGAGTTCATCTGGTCTCCTTACTCTAACGCCAGATGTCCTAGAGGAGCTAACAAAGAAACATCCACCAGCTGCTGGCGTGGAGAATGAATGCCTTTTGCATGGTCCGATCGACTTCATCCCTCCAAGTATTTTTGATTCAATCGATGAACAATTGATTTACAATTCTGCCATGCGAACAAGAGGCTCTGCTGGTCCTTCTGGGATGGATGCTCAATTGTATTGTAGAATTCTCTGCTCAAAGAGTTTCATCAATGAAGGAAAACATCTACGAGAAGAAATCGCTATCATGACCAGGAACTTGCTACGATTATCATATAGTCCCTCTCTTCTCGAGGGATATACATCGTGCAGGCTAATACCTCTTGATAAGAATCCTGGAATTCGACCAATTGGAGTGGGAGAAGTTCTTAGACGAATTATCGGGAAAGCAATTTCTGCGTTCTTTAAAGACGATATCAGAGAAGCAGCAGGCCCTCTGCAAGTCTGTGCAGGCTACACCGCTGGAGCGGAAGCAGCCATTCATGCCATGAGTGACATCTTTTCCGAAGAAGAAACGGATGGGGTTCTACTGGTAGATGCAAACAACGCTTTCAACAT